TAAAGCAGATACCTTAAAGCAACTGAGGCCAATAGGAAAAGGGGACCAGGTACTAGAGAAAAGGTTAGATCAAAAAGAATTAACCTAGAAGGTAACACCCACGCACAGGAAATCAATGTGAGTCAATGCCCTGTATAGCTATCTTTATCTCAACCAGCAAAACCCCTTGTTCCTTCCTATTATTGCTTATACTCTCTCTACAACAAAATTAGAGATAAGGGCAAAATAGTTTCTGCTGGGTATTGAGGGGGGGAGCGGGAGGGGGTGGAGTGGGTGGTAAGGGAGGGGGTGGGGGCAGGGGGGAGAAATAAACCAAGCCTTGTATGCACATATGAATAATAAAAGAAAAATGAAAAAAAAATATTTTAAAAAAAAAAAGTCAGCCTCTTCATGGGTTTCTCACCATAGTTCATCCTAGGGCAGTTGCAGAGCTTACTGCACCCTTTCTCCACTAAGTGTTTACTGGCCAAACCTAGCCTAGCAGCATGTTACAGTAAAGGGCCTGCTGTTCCACTGGGTTTGTGGCAGAGCCTGCCGTCTGAGGTGGAGTCCAAGCCACACCATTCAGTGCCTTGTTCTACTTTGCTTCCAGCTGAAATGAGTAGTCTTCTTTCCATAATGAAGTGATCCTTTTTACTCATGTAATTGAGAATGTAGGACTTCAAAATGGTTCTTCATATATTAACCTTGAAGTCTAGCTTTTTCTTATTATAACAATGTTCATGTAGGCCCAGAGGGGAAAATGTCCCTTGAACTCCAGATCTGAAATCAGTTTCCTACTCCTTCCGGGTTCTTTATTTTAAGCGTGGGTTGGATTTTGTGTTTTGTTTTTTAATGTCCTTACTTGGCATAATTAAAATTGTCAACTTTTCATTCAAACCTTTTTTGATCTCTCCCAGTCTGACTTTGTCTTCCATCCCTGCACATGTTCTCCTTTCTAGCAATACTGGAGTGTATGCTCTGCTCCAAACCACCATGCCTGCTCACGTCTGCTCTGCTCTTAACTCAAGATCTTCTTCAGCTCTAGTTAGTTGGTCCTGCTTACATCTCTCTTTCCATCTTCCAAATGGGGAATGTGTGCCAAACATGCGGCCATCCTCTCTTTCCCCAGGGTAAAGTGATCCCTGGCCTTGTCCTCTGATGACCATCCACAGCATGTTTCATTCTACTCAAGGATGGTTGGTAGTTTTGGTAGTGTATGTATCAGTATCCCTCACTACTCCAGGAGGCCTATAAAAGTCTCTTGAATAAGCAGATTCTATCAGAGCTAGAGGGTCAGCAGAGAAAAGTATCCTTTGGAAAAAAAACACTAACAATTGCTTTTTTTTTTTTTTTTGGTGGTATTGGGGTTTGAATTCATCCTTGGTTGGTAGGCATTCTACTACTTGAGTCATTCTGCCAGCCCAGCAGTTGCTTTTAAAACTTCTATGACCATATAGTTTTATAACACCACTTGCATTAATTTTTCTTTTTTATCAGAAGTGTTTATATAGCCTTAGAGCAGGGGTTGACTTTTGTGTGTTTTCTTTTTCTAATCCAATGCACATCTAGGTGGCACAGGGTGCTTTTAAAAGGAATCCTGACCAACGGACTGGTTTCCGTGTATGAGCTGGACTACGGCAAGCATGAATTAGTCAACATAAGGAAGGTACAGCCCCTAGTGGACATGTTTCGAAAGCTGCCATTCCAAGCAGTCACTGCTCAACTTGCAGGTAATTTGTGTAGAATTTGGACTTAGCTGCAGTATAGCTTATATTCTAATTTTGTTCCTGGGTACTTAGCAAGTGTGAAATTATTGGCCTGATCGTAATGGAAATAATTTTAATCTCTTACACTCAGGCTGTAAAATACCATTGTACCTGCAGTTTCATTCCTCTTGTCTCTAGTTGCATGTCTGAGTATATTTCTAAAGCTACAGTTTGGGTTCATATGCAATACTGCATTCTGCTTTTCTTCATTTGGCATTTTCTCCTCATTTTTGGTTAGTTGCTTCATGGGTTTACTAAAGGTTGTTATCCTCCCCTCTACCCCTACTTTGTTGGAGATTGAATATATTAGGGCCTTGCACATGCTAAGCATTCATTCTACCACTAAGCCACACTCCTCCCTATAATTATTTTTAATAGCTGCAAAATATTGCACTGAATCAGTATTTCCCTACTGTTGAATAGTTAGGTTGTTTACACTTTTTACTATAATGTTAAGAGAAGCTGTGCAGGTATGTATACTACTAGCTAAGAAAACAGTGGCAGCAATTCAAATAGCCAACAGGAAGAGAATTTCATTATTATTACTGCCTAAGTTGTTTATTGCATTAATTATACATCTACGCAACAGAGTATTACACAGTCACAAAGCATTCATAGGTCATTTTCATGGTCAAGTGAGTTTCCAATTTGCATCACAACTGACAGCATGCAAATGCAGTTTCACCACATTCACACCAGCCTTTTAACTGTCATTAAAATTTCAGGAGGTCATTTAAAAGTTTTTGTACTATTGTCTAATAACAGTTGATCTTGTGTGAAAGCTGTACAAATGATGGTGGCCCCCTGTGAGCACTACAAGTAGCATGAGCAGCTGGACGAAGCTCCACCCAGGGGCCTGTCAGCATTAGCAAAGAGCATAGAAGCCAGCAGGGCTGAAGAGTGCAGACACTTGCACTTACCTGGGCTCTCTGTGTCCTGCTGCACTGGGCTGTGGGGCATCGAGACCACCTGGTGCCACCTGATCCCTTTGCTACTGCCTGAAGCCTGGGATTCTGCTTAACCCAGATATGTAACACAGTGACAGAAGGGATTTGATCTCAGCAATGAAAGAAATGGTATATATAGATTTTTACTTGTTGATCAGCTTTTATGGGAAGGCAGGCTATATATGCCTTGTTTTGAAACATTTGTCATTTTCCCTTTGTCAACTACTAGAATTTAAAGGAACTTCTTGGGATAATTGGATCCAAAGCAGAAACTGGCACTGTTCACAGGGCATGGATGCTAGTTAGTCTGCTTTGGACTCAAACCTTAAGTAGTTTCTTCAAGTATAATAGTTACTTTTTTCATTTTCCCTCTTAATTGTCCACATTTTGCTGACAGCACTTGTCAAACAAAATCACAGACTGCCAAAAGAAGAATCCTCTGAGGAATTGAGTGTCATCCCATCACTGCATCATGGCAGTGGTAACTGGTACTTACTTTGTGGTGGGGACTCTGCCAGTCACGTTAGGTCTTCCTTCCTGTCTGATACATGCATTCAGTGCCATCAGTTTTCCTTGAAGCACTGCTTTTGCTTTATCCCAAAATTTTGATATGCTCTGTTTTTACTTTCATTTAGCACAAAATATTTTTAAATTCCTTGTGAAATTTCTTCTTTGATCCATGTGTTATTTAAATTGTATTGTTCATTCTTCAACTGTTTGAGGATTTTCCAGTTGTCTTTCTGTTCTTGATTTCAAATTTAACTCCATTATGTCTGAGAGTAATAGACATTGTATGATTTCTATTCTTGGAAATTTGTTAAGGTAGGTTTCATATCCTAGAATGTGGTCTCTCTTGGTGAATGTTCCCTGTAAGCTTGGATTATATAATCTGCTGTTGTTGGATTAAGTAGTCTACAGATGTCAACCTATGTTGAGGTGATTTAGGGTGCTGTTGAGTTCAGTGTGACCTCAGTGATTTTCTGCCTGCTGGATCTGTCTGTCTCTGATAGAGGGGCATAAAGGCTCTATGGTGGTGGATTCATCTGTTTCTTCTTGTATTTCTATCTGGTTTTGCCTCCACTATTTTGATACTCTGATGTTAGTGCATAGAATTAAGAATTACTGAGTCTTCTTGGAGAACTGGCCTCTTTACCATATGTAATGCTTCTCTTTATCTCTAATAACTTTCCTTCCACTGAAGTGTGCTCTGTCTGAAATGAATAGACCTACTCTTGCTTTCTTTTGGTTAATGTTATATAGCTTTCCTCCATCCCTCTCCTTTTCTCTACATATGTCTTTATATTTCAAGTGGGTTTCTTATAGACAACATATAATTGGATGTTATTTTTTGATCCATTGACTGTTTCTTTTAATTGGCGTATTTAGACTAGTGATGTTTAAATATAGTTAGATTATTATCTGCCATATTTAGCACCATTTTATATTTGATATTCTTGTTCTTTATTCTTATTTTTGTCTTCTACAAGCTTTAGACACTCTACCACTGAGCTTTATCCCAGACCTTTTTAATTTTTTTATTTTGAGCAGGGTCTTGCTACGTTGCTCAGGCAGGCCTTGAACTTGTGATCCACCTGCCTTAGCCTCCTAAGTAGATGAGATTATAGGCATGCACCTATCCCTGACTATAATATGCATTTCCAAGAACATTTTTTTGGGCAGTACTAGAGTTTGAACTCAGGGCCTCATGCTTGCTAGGCAGACACTCTACCACTTGAGCCACTCCACCAGTCCTCCAAGTCTATTTTTAAGTAATGTTATACTCCCGCACAGGTAGTGCAGATGCCTTATCATAACAAAATAATCCTATAATAACTAAAGTAATTCCTTCCTCCTGTCCCTTGTATTATTGCTTCATTTTATTTATGTATGCTAACATGCATAGTCAAATGCTTTGTTGCTATTAGTATTTTGAACATACTGTTATCTAGTAGATCAATTAAGAATAAGCAATAAAATTTGACCTTCACTTACTCATGATGTTTTTCCTTATATAGATTGAAGTTTCATTTTCCTTTCCTCTAAAGAACTTCTTTAAACATTTTTTCCAAGGCAGGTGTACTGACAAAAGAGACTACTCCAAATAGACTTTGGAAGTCAAATTCTCCTTTATCTTCCCTCCTTTCCTCCCTTCCTTCCCGTGTGCAGTGGATAGGACCCAGGGCCTTATGCATGCAGGCAGGTGCTCTGCCACTGAGTTACACCTCTAACCCCTCTCCTTCACCTTGAAGAATAATTTTATAGGATACAGAATTCTAGTTGATGGTTTTTGGTTTTTTGTTTTCTCTCTTCTTGCTTGCATGGTTTCTGAGGAAGAGGTGGCTGTAATTCTTACCTTGTTCCTCCATAGGTAAGTTGCCACCCTCCAGCTTCTTTAAAGATTTTTCTGAAGTTTGGATACAATAAGCCTCAGTGTATTTTGGGATATTTATTGTGCTTGGTATTCTCTTAGTTTCTTGAGTCTGTTCTTTGTTATCTGACACTAGTGTGAGGATACTCTCAGTCATTATTGTTTCAAGTGTTGCTTCTGTTGCTTTCGCTCTTCTCATGGTTTTCCCATTATACATATCTTTACACCTTTTGTAGTTCTCCCCTAGTTCTTGCACAGTCTGTTATGTTTTTTTTCCTTCGGTCTTTTTCTCTTTTTCAGTTTTAGAAGTTTCTTTTGTCACATCCTTAAGATCAGATACTGCTTCCTCAGCCGCATCCAGTCTACTAATGAGACCATCGAGACATTCTTTTCTGTTAGTATTTTATTCTCTTTAAATTTCCATCTTTGTGCTTACATTAGCCACCTTTTTTTCCTTCTTAGTGCTGAGGATTGAACACAACTAAGCAAGCACTGTATCACTGTGCTGCGCCCCAGCCCCATCCATCTGCTCTTACGTGTTGTCTATTCATCCTTTAAAGCCCTTAACATATTAATCATAGTTGCTTTAAATTCCTGCTCTGACTCTTCCAGCATTCCTGCCCTATCTGATTGATTGAGACTCTTGTCAGTCTCTTTACACTGTGGTTTTTGCCTTTAATGTCACTTGTAATTTTTGCTAAAAGGTGAACATGAAGTACTATGTAAAAGAAACTCCCATAAACAGCCTTTAGTAATGTAGTGCGAGATAGGGGGTGGAGAGCGCCTATAGTCCCATGATTAGGGCTGAGTCTTCCGTGAGCCTATACCCCTGGACTTGGGAAATTCACAGTGTTTCTCAGGATTTCCAGGGTGGCTGGAGGAGAGTATGGACTAGAGCTGGGCATTTCCCTCTCCACAGGTGGATAGGCTCTGATGAAACCCCAGCAGGTTAGACTCTATTACACTCTTTCTCCTGAGGGGAAGCCTTGGTAAGAGCAGAGAGCTCTGGTGCATTTCAAAATGTTCCTTTTCCCCCACCCTCTGCTGGCAGCCCCAAAAGGATTTTTCTCTGATTCTCAACTATGAGGATCAAGAGGTAGTATGTGGGGGCCCATGACTGGGTCACACTGGAGCTTTTCACTCTGGACTTACACACATGAGCCCCCAACAGTTTGTCACAGTTCAGGTTTTCCTAGCCTAGCCGTAGTTCCCTGAGATCTCTAGGATTAGTTTTTCCTCCAGTGAGTTGTGACTCACTATGTCTACCTGTCTCTCTCCTTTTTAGGGGTGACAGGTTGCCCTGTGACCTCATTTTTTCACTTTTGACTTGTAAGGATAGAATGAAAACTTCTAAATTCCTTGCATACCTTGTCCCAAACCAGTAGTTCTACCAGCCAGTTTGTTTCATTGACTTCTCTCCTGCTGTGGAAGATTTAGGTACCTATTACATAGACAGGAAATAGCACTCAAAGAAGTTACTTATCCTGTCTAAGATCCCACAGCCTTAAACCCTGCCCTCTGCCTCTCCAGTGCTCACCTTTCTTCTTGGAGCAAAAAGTGTAGTTTAGAAGTCAGTAAACTTGGATTCAAGTCCCTTGACTTCTCAACTTACCCCATAATTATTTCTAAAATGACCAGTCAGTCAATCCCTGTCCTGCTCAGTCCCTGAACTCTTACTATGTGGATCAAATAAGAGAGTGAATATGAGATCCCCTCCTAGACTAAAATACGTGGCACAAATGCATGGATGTCATTGCACATTTATGTCTAGAAATGTAGTATTGCTCTTGGGTCCCCTCTAGATGGCTGCCGTCTGCTGACTTGCTTGTAAGTCACAAGGCCTCTTTCAGCATCAGATTACAGTTAAGGGAGAACTGTGGAAGAGTGTATGCTGTGCAAAGTGTCTCTCTTGCTCCAACACAGGCATCTGCTAGAGAGAAGATGATATATAGTCTGGGAGTTTCTTAGGAGTCACCTGTTGTGACATGGCCATTGGAGTCATCACTTTGATAGACTTGACTCACATCCAGCCATGACCTGTGAAATGTGGGAATATCCCTAGATCCAAGGAAATCCATGGAACTTCAGTGGAATTCATAGGACTCTGAGTGTATGAATCAGAATATTTTAAGAATTCTCCAGGGACCTTAAAACAAATCCTTTCCCATTCACATATAGGGTCACTGGATGCTTACCTCCCAACGTTCTCAATGAGTTGCTGCTTCATTTCATCAGATCTTGACATGGGCACCCTTTTCAGCAACACAGCATGGCTTTGCATTTGATTTCTGGATCGTATAAACAAGGGAGCCACACTGGGGTCATCTCTTACCTAGATAACACATTTAGAAGTGTTATCTTTTTCCTTATTAAGTACCATAAACTCAGAAATTGTCTGGGCTCCTTGAGATAAAATGAGACTTCTCTAAACTTCTCCTGTGAGAAATTCTTTTTTTTTTTTTTTGAAGGCACTGGGGTTTGTACTCAGGACCTCACACATGCTATATAGGTACTCTTACCACTCAAGCCACTCCGCCAGCCCTTCTATGGGAAATTCTTAATCCAGACTTTAGCCAACTCATTATATAGATAGCAGATCTTCTAAAATTATGTCTGAATCTCTCAGACCTTCATTTCCTTGGTGCATAATTCATAATTTATGTAACCTAGTATATGTGAATTAATTTATATTAAGTTAATAGTATTTTGTGAAAAATATGTTTCATCTCAAGTTTTGTTTTAAGATCCTCTTTAAGATTCTTTAACTTGATCTCTCAAGTTCAAAAATCATAGAAATGTAGAGATGGATGGGGCTTAAGATTCATCTGGTCCAATGAGTTTCTTTTATGCCAGGCAAACATAGGCCCAGAAATCAGTTGATTTGCTCAAGGTCACAGCACTTGATAGAGAAGTTGGCAATAGTAACTGAGTTTCCTCACTTGGAATGCAGTGCCTTTTCCATGACACTGTACAGTTCTTAAAAATTATACTGTAAAAGATCCTATAATAGTTCCTTAAAAAAAACTGTTTGGCTCATCTGGTAAAAAAAAAATGTTTAAGAGAAGCATCACTAATGTCATTGATACTGACATTTTATTCCCCCTAGCTATCTCAGTTGTCAGTTTAAATCTACATATACTTTATATATGGGAAACAGGAATAGTCATCACCATTTTATACTACGACTTCAAATTTCAGAGGAAAGTGGTAAAGGCTTACAGAAGTGGCTCGTTCAGAGTAGATGAATTATAACCTGAGTACATTAAAATTGTTCAGCAGCTGTCTTCCATTATAGGTAGCTGTAACCTGAGGTCTTAAGCTACTTTGGATTGACTAGGTTTTCCTTGTAGCGGATCAAAGAAAGGTGTATTTGAGTCTACACTGCTTCCCTCACTCCCTGTCTTTCTTCTAGGAGTGAAGTGCACCCAGTGGTCTGAGGAAGCTTCGATGGTGTTTCGAAATCATGTGGAGAAGAAACCTCTGGTGGCACTGGTACAGACAGTCATTGAAAGCACTAACCCTTGGGACCGGAAAGTAGTGGTCTATCTAGTAGATACGTCACTGCCAGACACTGATACCTGGATTCATGATTTTATGTCACAGTACCTGGTAGAGCTTTCAAAAGCTAATTAATCACTGCTTCTGAGACCTTGACAACTAATTCAGACTTTTTAGCAATAATAAAACATAGTAGGCTTTAAAAAACATCTTATTTCTGCTACATGGCTCTGACTGTTGTGGGGAATTGAAAAGAATATGCTTATGTTTGATGAAAGATATTTAACAAGTTTTGTTTTAACAGAGTTGACTTTTCAAAGAAAATTGCACTTGAATTATTACTATAATATTAGAATAAAAATGTTTATCAATATAAAAACTGACTGCCTTGTACTTTTTAGGCTTTATGATCTTCAGATGAAAGACTCCTTTTTCCATTGACATTGTCTTCCTTGAATGCAGTGTTCCTCTTTAGTTAAATTGAGAATTTCATTAACTCAACTTAACTTGACCCTGGTATAGTGCTGTGTCCCCAAGCAAGGGACCCCGAAGCATGTGAAGACTTGAGTCTTTAGCACATCAGCATTGCTACAGCAGCAGCCAGGCACACCAGAGTGGCTTCTCATAGCCTAGAGAGTCTAGATCCAAGAGCCAGGTCTTCCACAAGCCCCCTGCACATCCCCTGTGCCTCCACACCCAGCTGCAGCCACATGGACCTTTATCTGGGCCCTGAATCCCTCACTTATTTATCCAAGACCATGGACATTGTGAAAAAAGACTTGCTTCCCTCCAGACCTGCTTATTCTATTCCCCCAGGCTGCAACGCATTCTCTCCCACCATTTTTTGCTTGAGATTGTCCTTTATGAGCTGCTAGGCCTAACTTCCCTAGGGTCCCTGTCCAATCCATTGTACTTTGTGTTTAGTGTTTCATTTATTTTTGTTAACTGTGTTTTGGTTTTGGAGAGGAAGTCTTGCTGTATAGCCCAGGCTGGCCTTGAACTCCCAATCCTCTTGCCTGTGCCTCTCCAGTGCTGGAATTAAAGCCATGAACCACCATGCCTGCCTCTACCTGATACTTGATTATGCCCCTTCTGGTGTCCATATGTCACTGCATTTTATAATACACAGTTACTTGTCACGTACCAGTCCGCTCACTTGAAGGAGGGACAAGTCTTTGTCATCTCTGTCAGTAATACACTGGTAAATGTTTAACAGCTGGTTTTGATAGATGGCAAGGTGCGCATTGACTGACAATGTGTGTGCTGTCCATCCTCCTGCCTTTGTTGGTTTTGCTGACTATGGCTTCCAGGATGGGATGCACCTTTGTGATCCTTGTGACCCTATGTGACAGATCCCAGCACCACTGCCTGTATCACCCACATGGGCAAAATGGCACCTTGCACAGCTCAGCACGCACTTGTGGAGTGGTGAGCAGATGGACAGGTTGCGGCTTTCACAGCGGTCTCAGATGAGGAAGCGGAGGCCCTAGTGGAGCAATGGGAATTGTTAGAGGGCATAGATACAGAAGACTGGAAAGAGTAAACTCCAGCCACAAGGTCTGGGATGCCGATTCTTACCCAGTTTGAGTGGAGGATTAAAGATACGGTTTTTGAACATACTGAACTGAGCTAACAGACCTCTGTGAAGATGCAGATAAATGATTAGAAACATGGAGTGGACTTCAGGAGGAAAAACAGGCTGGAGATAAGCGTTCTTAAAATCATTTGTCTTTTTTTTTTTTTTAAGTTTTAGCAAGGACTTATTTTACCATAGCAGAAAATGTTTCTTATTCTCCACTTCTTCCTGATCCCCATGTAGGAAATGGGAGTAAAGACTCCCAAGTCATTTGTCTTTATTGGAGAAAAATTTTAGGTGAAACAAGAACAGCAAGAGAAAAGACCAGATGTTTTAAGTTTTTCTTCTCAAACATGTAGAAATTATCGCTAGCTTCTAGACTTTTATGTTATTTTTATAACTAAACTGATTTGAAATTCAACAATCACTAGTATTAGTGATTAATCATTTGTGATGAAATAAAAATATTCTGATTGCATGAATGTTTAAATGAAATAAAGTAGTGTTTATGTTTTTTAATAATGGTCTCCCTAACAAAAAGCAGAAATCCTCAAATTGCCTAACAACTAAGGAAGAGATGGTTCTATTTCACTGACTTTAGAAATGTCTTCATTACTTGTTCAAATAAAATGATTATGTTTGTTGATGTAAGTATAAAATTAATCTGGTACTGAGACAGTTTGCCACACAAATGAACTTAGCCTCTACCTCAGACCATATTCCAAAGTCATTTCCAGGTAGATAGGAAACCTAAAGGTGGAAAGCTAAGGTGGGAAGATAAGCATAGGAAAGTATCTTCATAACCCAGGACTCAAAACACTACAGAAAAAGAAAAAGATTGATAGACTGTATTAAAACTAAGAACACCTGTTCATCAAAAAGACATTATTAAAGTGAACAGTCAGAGCACAGAGTAGAAGAATTCAGGTTAGATATACACTGAATTTTTTCAATAAACAAGAGACTCTTCAAAAGAAAAATGAGTAATAAATTTAAACAAACACTTCACAAAAAAGGAAATCCAACTGGCCGATAAGCACACAAAGGCATTAACCCGTTAGGACACAGGGAAGTGCAAGTTGGGACCTCCTGCAATACCATCACTCGTGTACCACAATGGTACAATCTTTCACTCCTTGTTACTCCCCAAGTGGTGGTGAAGATATGAAACTGCTGTAAACTGCCTTTGGAGGAGTTCAGGCTGGTCTGTCCTAAATTCAATTTAGGGATGTTCCAAGGCACTTCAACAACTGTATCTATGCACTTGTACCAGCGGACACCGAGAAAGAATGCTCACAGCAGCACTATTTGTAATAAAAGGTTTAGAGGCCCATTAACTGGAAAAAGGATTTTAAAAACTGTGCTACATTTGTATGATGGAAAAACAACACAGCAATGAGAAAGAACAAACCTCAGGCGCATGAAACATCATGCATTAATCTCAACACCGAGCTGTACAGGTTGGGAAGGCAAGGACATGATTACTGAAAGGGTCACAAAAGGGAGCATCTTTGGGGTAGTTGTGACTCCAGAGAGACAAGCTGGCTTCTGGGCTGCTGGCAGTGTTCCCTGAGTGGTGGTTGCTTTACACAGGTGTTCATACTAAAAATTCAGGAAACTACACGTTGCACTTACATATTTTGAGTACACAAGAATTTAAAAATAAGTAATCTGAAATAGTAAATCGCTGCCTTAAAATATATAGCACATACCCCTTGAGAAAGCGCACTCCCTTAACGCCTGTGAGCGTTTTTCCAATATAGGAATACATCTCTGTGAAAATATTTTTAAATGAGCACTTTTTATTAGTAACTTCTGCCAGGATTAAAGAGTTGATTTTATTAGGATCTCACCATGACCACCAAAAACGTTCCCCTAATTATCCAAACCCAGACATTTTCCTCTGTCTCTCTGAATTACTTGGTATGAGCCATTTGTTTATCAAAACACTTATAGTTTCTGAGTTTAAGTAGTTTGCTCTGGAAAACACATTAGCCTGTTAGGAAAGTGGAGCTTTTGTTGTAGTTATTTTGGACACTCCATTCTCAGCACAGAGTCTAGAGAATGCATTCGATTCTGGGACAGAATTGCATTTTCACCAAATGATGGTTATTAAAGTTTGGGCTTTAAAGTCGTGGCTGGGGTGGTAAGATGGGACGGATAGCGACTTCAGTCAAAGGACTTTACTCCGTCCCTCCGACAAATTCTAGATCCCTTGAGAATAAAAATCTGCCCAATTTTTTCCAGCTAACTCTACATCCCTGAAATTCTTCCCGGGATAGTGGAGAAAAGGAGACCCAGACAGGAGGCGACGCACACTCGCTGCGGAGCCAGTCTCCCGGGCGGCCCGGCCCCAGCCCCGCGCTCCCCCCAGCGGGTGTCGCTCCCCGGCCAGGGACTGGGGCGCTGCGCCTCGGCGCCCCCGAGCGGAGGGTGGGGGTGGAGGGTGGGGCGGGGCGCGGTGACAGCGCGGAGCCGGGCCCGCCCCTGGCTCCCACCCGCCCGCGGCCGCCGGGGAGCTCGTCCAGCCCCGCGCTCCGCTCGCCCTCCCGCCCGCCGCCCGCGCTCGCCCCGCCACCGCCCGCTCCCGAGCCGGCCCCGCCGCTCTGCGTCCCGGTAAGCCCCCCCACCCTCCTGGGGTCCCCCTCGGGCTCGCGGGGCTCCCTGCCTCCGCTCCGGGCCCAGCCATATCTGGGCAAAATATTCAGCTGTCGCCGCCGCCGCCGCCAAGAGGGACTGAACGTGGCTCCCTCTATAAATAGCTGCCGCCTCGGGTTGCCTCGGGGGCTGGGGAGCTCGGGGGTTGGGGTCTCCAGCCCGGCGCTCCGGCGGCCGACTCTGCGGTTTCGCCGCCCCCCGCGCGCGACCCTGGACCTCCGCGCCGCGCCGCGCTCGGGAACGCCAAGAGCGCCAGGAGCGCGGGCCCTGGAAGAGCAGCGCCGAGGGCCGGGGTCCTGGCGGGGCGCGTTTCCCCACAGCCTGCTGGCCTCCCGGCGCCCGAGGGCGCTCTGCAGGGCACAGGTGCCTCCCCGATCCCCGCACCCGGCGCGGCCTCCTCCGCCCGCCGAGGCTGGGGGCGTACGCGCTCCGGGGACGCCGAGCCCGGGTTCGCGCTGCGCCCGCCGGTGACAGGAAAAGTTTCCCAAACTGCGGGAGATGGCAAGGTTTAAAGCACCGCCACACGCGCGTGGCGGCCAGGGCGAGTGGGAAAGAGCCGGGAGGCAGGAGCCCCTCGCTGCCCGAAACTCTTGGGGCAGCTTTGGCAGCCCCCTCCTCTCTCTGAACCCCGTTTTTTCCATTGGTAGGGCGAGGCTAGGCTTCTGCGGTGGAGCTGGGGACCCCGGCGGTGGGAGACTCAGAATGTGCTCCTGACCGCCCGCGCTCCCCGCACCTGTTCAGCCTGGATGCACATCGGAGGTGGCAGAAATCAAAGTCTTTGGTGGTGGCAGAAATAGTGTCTTTAGTGGCTCCCCCAACTTGGGTCGTATCTTGGGATCCGCTAGGGCTCTCGGAATAGCCTGGTCGGTGCACCCCCCAAGAAGTACACCCGTGGGATGCTTACGGGCATCTCCCGGCTCAGTAGCCAGCATCTCTTGGCAAAACACTCAGTGATCCCCACAATTTTAGATCAAATGAACTGGACAGAGCAAGGGGTTCTCCTCCAGCGTTCCCTGGCCTCAGTTTTTACTGTCTGTGTGGTATGTCGTGCCCTTGGAGCCACGCAGTCCCATTCTGTCCTCCACTGCCATTAGTCCTGCAGTGGCAGCCCCTTTACAGTGCTTGCTCTCACCCTCTGAGACTCTTGAAGACCACCTGGACCAACCTTTCCTGGGTCCGAACCGCAAAACCGAACTCTAAAGACCCCATCTTTCTCCTCAGGGGACAGTCATTTCGTTGTCCCTGAAGGGCCTCCGTGTCCCCTGCTCAAGGTCACACTTCTGAACTCAAGGTCTGCAATCTCCGCCCACCTTTCCGTCTCTTTTGGACCCTTCCTCCCTGCGTAGGCAGGTCTTGGGACTCTCTGAGCCCCCATCATTTCCCCTCATTTGTAACAGGCTGCTGTTTTTCCGCTTGCTCAGGCCACAGCGCTATGTCCTGAAGTTTCCGTTTCGTTTCCCTTTATTATATTATGTTTTCTCTAAACCACCTCCAAGCCTCACAGCTAAAAGAATTAAGGGGAAATGAAGCCAAATAGTAATGTTCCCATCAATTCAAGCCACACCACACACAGGCAGAGTAAAGGCAAAGAACACTGTCACTTTGTTGTATTATCTTTAGTGAGTCAATCTTACAAACACATGTCTTAGACAGTCATTGGCCCTTGAGTTCCTAGCAGCCTAAGTCCTCTAAAAATAGCCTCCACCCCACCTTATCAGGGTCTCACACCTTCTCCCTCCCCCTGAGCAGGGTGGCTTCCTGCTGCTTAGGAACACAGAAAACAGGGAGTGGGTAGTGACAACTCTGAGTAATGGATGCAGGGCTGGCCATGAGGTCAGGCCCCTGGCTCCAGTCCCAGCTCTGCAGCCCACCAGAGTGACCTTGAGCAATGAGGGGTGGACAAGATGGTCTCCAGTGTACTTGGACTCCTGAGGGCTCAGAGTCTCCCTTGGGAGACCTCTAGCATGGGGAAAGTGAAGTGCCAGGGCATCCATCCTGTGCAGAGAAGGTGGGGGAGGAATGTGCCTAAGGAGAGAGGTGGGTAGTGACAGTTACTGCAGAGAGATAGAGGGTGGCCAGAACTGGGAAGGGGCCCTAAGAATAGGGAGGGGTTATGGCAGAGGATTCAAAAATAGGATCTGCCAGTGGCCCAACCTATATACCCATTGGTTTCTGCCTCTGTTCGAGTGCGGCTGCTGTGGCCATTCAGTGAGATGATGCAGGGAAAGCCCTTGGCCCAGAGCTGGTGGTCTGCAATAGTGTTCAGTGTTAGTGAGGGCAGAAGCAGGAGTCCATGGGAGCACAAGTGGATCTAGCCGCTAGCTCTTTCTAAAAGCTTAGGTGACAAAGGAGGGGAGAGAGAAGGTGGTAGGAGCTAAGGATAGGGCACACAGTGGAGGTAGGTGCTTCTGGGATGAAGAGTGTGATGAGAGGTAGAGGAAAACCCAGGAGAGGGCCAGAGAGTTTAAGAGAATCTAAAGGGGTACCCATGGAGGATTGAGGTCCTTCCTTAATGGTTCCGCAAATGGCCTTCAACCCTCGGAACCAGGCTAAGCAGAACTGAGTAAAATGCAGCAAGCCCTTGTTCAAGCCCCTGGGTCCTTTGGCAGACTTCAGTATCTGCAAAGCAGGGCAGTGACAGGCCATGAAGGGTGATTTGACCCTGCCTAGGGCCCTTATGACCTTGGCTTGCTTATTTTCTGAAATGACATCATCTATTGATGACATGACTCCTGCTGAGCCCAGTCATAATGGCCTCTTCCAGTCAATGTTTTGATTTTTCAGTCTTACTAATGGACCAGCCAGCCTGCCAACATTTCTACAGAGGCCAGTTCACTCTCCCTTCAAGCCAGAACACCAAGGAGATCAATTATTTGGCTGCTAGGAGACATTATCAGTTTAAAGCCACAAACAGACCTGTTTGTATGGAATACCAGGAATTAGAAAGCCCAATGCTGAGCCCATTTCTTTCCTCTGTTTTTTGTTGTTGTTGTTGTTGTTGCTGTTGTTTTTGTAAAATCCTCTTGGTTGATAAGATGGGCCCTGACTCTCATTGCTCTTAATGATAGATGGTAAGAATGAGCTCATTGGAGTCAGCTTAGGATATGGTCTGGAAGATTTTCTTGGTGTTAGGAGGTACTGGGTCCTTGTCTGATCAGAAAAACTGAACTCAAGCATTTCTTTTGTTTCTCCTTCTCTAATGTCTTTTTACAAAGAACAGGACACTATCACACCAGAGGAGGAGAGAAGAAGGAGACAGGTCCCACCCATGTCCCTATCTCATTTCATTTTCCCAGGGTTCCCAGGCCCAGTTGCCCCTCACTCTGGAGCTAATAGGGTGGTGGCCCCTAGGGCTGTTCTACAGATGACTGATGGGTAGTGGGCTGTGAGCGCTGGCATTTGCCCCCATGCTCAAAGGAGCAAGGGAAGCAGAAACACTCTTGTTCTCACTCAGCCTTCTTCTTGGACTTAATCTTTCTGCCTGTCTCTTCTTTGTTGATGCCTCTCCTATCCCTACACTCTTCCCATCCTCCCCCTCACAATCTCATTCACTTCCATGGCCCCAACCATCCCACAACTCCCAAGTTCTTGTGTCTTTCCTGGGCCGCTTTCCTCACCCCTAAGCATCTGTGCCAATAGCACATCCCAAAGGCACTTCAATCCCAACAGTCCCAGACTCTGGCTCTCTTCCTGGTCCTCCTCCTGTGTCTCCATTTTAGTTACAAGTAATGCCATCCACGCTGGCACCAAGCCAGAAGCAAGCCTCCCTTCCTTTCACCACCCCCATCATGGGGCCACCCAGTCCTGTCAACTCTACTTTCTGTAATATCTCATATCCATTTCTATCCCCACAGCCACCACCCCAGTCAAGGACTTTCTCATCACTTCCCCAAGATATTGTTGGAGTCTCTTCAAATCTCTCCTGCCATGCTGGTGTTAGAAGAGCCTTGTGAAATAGAGCTATGGCTGTGTCAATGTTCCCCTTTCAGGGACCATTCATTTCCTACTAGATAAAGACCAGATCCCTTAGCACCAACAAGATCTGGCCCCAAAGTACTTTGAAACCATCACTAGGCACTCCTCAAATTCTGTGTACCTTCTAATCATGGCACAAGTATGCTATGTCTTCATGCCTCCCTGCCTCCGTCCTTCTGCCTAGAATGCTTTTTCCCCCTTCTCAGCCCATGAACTTACAATAATTCTTAAAAGCCACACTCCTCAGTATCTCATCTGTGCTCTCACTGTGCCCTCAAAGCACCTGCCACAGTTTGCTCTAACTGGAACCTTCCAACAGCATCTCTGTCTTTGGCAGTCTGGAAGCATCTTGAGAGCAGGATTGGTGCTTTATTTATTTCTACTACCCTGGGTGTCCACTCAAAGCTCAGTGCTTTAGGTTTTAGTAAATGGCTGACCATTGAATGAATACATAATGTATAAAGAATAAGCACATAGAGCTTCACACAACACCAACCAGTATTTACCACTAGTTTTCCCATCCACCAGACAATTAGCTTCACCGGGGAGAGCAGAGACCACTCCTGATCTCCCTACCAACTCTGGACCCCTATTGATCCCACCATAGTAAAGGGCTGGCGAATCAATCCATGATCTCATTTGAAACTTTCTCCCTTGCAGTAATCCTGTGAGCGAGAAACAGCAGGTTAGTATTACCTCTTTTTTGTAATTTAACCGTGGACCTAGTAAGAATTGCTCCAGATCATCCATCCCACCGAAGTGTGTATTCCAGAAACCCGAAGTGCTCTTCAGGGCTTGATAAATTTGCGAAGTGAGAGTCTTTGTGCTCCATGCCAACGCTTTCTCTGTCTTCACTGTACATTTCGATCAGTTGGGTCTTTTCATAAATGTAGATTCTGGTTCAATAGGCGTAAGATGGGACTTGGGATTCTGAATTTCTAATGAGCTCCATGTGAGATATGTTTATTAGATAATAAGTCTAA